CTTGAGAGAGTTGATGGTTTTAAAAGCATGTCAGGAGTTTCTGCACAGAACCTGCATAGACTTGTCAGCAGGCTTACCCTGTGCACCCCCTCCATGGTAGTCCTGAAACAATTGCCTGTTCTCAACCTCCTGGGAAAGGTGGGCTGTCGGGTTTCTGAGAGAGAAAGCTGCTGCCGGGCGATGGGTGGGGCTGTGGGTTTCTTCCTGTTGAATTGTGGCTGGCTTCAGGAGTGCAGCAGAATACGCTTACCTGCCTTCCCTGGAAGACATATGTCCACAGGCAGCCTGCCAGGGAGCTGAAAGTAATGTACATTTTCTGGGCCTGCTGATGTCATCAAAGCGTTCAGAGGGAGAGTCGCTGATGACAGCAGCAGCACCTGCTTCTCTGAACACTAGTGACTGCTTGGGACAGCCTCTTATGTGAAAATTGTATGTTACAATTTTTTTTTAAAGGTAGTGCCTCCTTAGATTTTTTAATCTTTTAGACAAAGTCTTCAACTGTAACAAATCATTGCTGTCATTAGCAGTCTTGGTGGCCATTATTGTTTTGTTCTGCATTATCCACACATTCATTCATTCCTTCATTCAGAGAGTGTTTCACTCTGCGGCCTAAACTGGCTTAGAATACACTCCAGAGGTACTCAGACTGGTCTTAAACTTGCTGTGATCCTTCTGCCTCAGTCTTTCATGTACCAGGATTATAGGTATATGCTACCATGCTCAGCATATTTTTTCTATGAAGATAAAAATATCTAAAGAAAAATATTTACTTTTGCTTGAATATTTACTGGTTTACAGAATTTTTGCATTACGTGAAGTGAAATGGATTTAAAAGGATGTTTTCTAATTTATTACTTACCTTTTGTAGGGCTTTACAAAGCTATGAAGGAAAAAGATTTGATAGTTTAGTTTTCCTGTCTTGAAGTTGTGATAAATACGATTGAAAATACCTTGATGGGAAGTTTTCACTCTTTGTAGTTAGAATCTGTAAATGAGTGTATATAATCTGGCATAGATACAGTTAAGACACCCATATTTTAATATATCAGCCCAAGCGTGTTTCAAAACAGAGTGTATTATCCATACTTCATTGGGCAGTCATGACCAACCACATGTGATATAGCAAAAGCCTTTTATTTTTGATGGTACTCCATTTGCCCTTATAAGAACAGAACACCCTTCCAGGCCCATGCTCCAGTAGGTACCTAACCCTGGCCTTAGGTAAGGAATGTGTCTAGAATGTTAGAACCTGCATGATGTTGACACAAAGTATCTGTTTCATGGGGATTAAAGTATATTTGCAGCCCTCTTTACTCCATTGGTAATGGTTTAAGAGGGCTGTAACTTGCAGTCTTTATACATGCATTGATGCATGGATTCACTGTTGACGGCACCATGAATTAGGAACACTTTTTTTATTGTGGGACGACAGTGCCTGTTTTCTTATCTGTTAACTTCTCAGAGTTTACACATGTGAAATCAGAGACGATAGAAAAGGACCGGGCTTTTGATCTTCAGCCAAAATCTTTCCTAATGTTGCTGCCCCCTACCCTGTTGCATGAATTATGTCGTAACTGCGTTAACTGGAGAAACAGTCCACCATCTTTGTAGATGTAATTAGAAGTGATCACGTCTGCCAGCAGCGTTGTAAGCCACGGGTGTGACACTGAGCTAAAACAGGCAAATAACGTCTTTTTGTAAAATCTGAAAACCCAGGCATAACATTTGTGCTGAAGCTTGTCCTAAAGCCCAGGACACCACCATGCTAAGTAGAAAAAAATGTACTCGGGGAAGGTGTGCACGGCAGTACAGGCCACTGTGCTGAGTGCTCAGGGTCAAAGGTGAATGGTGGCCTTGTCCAGGCTTTAGTGCAAAGGCAGACATAGCAACTTTAAATACCACAGTAGCAAAGTATAGCACAGTAGGACCTGGGGCTGCCCCCGAGAGAGAGAATGGCAATTGACTGGCTTTGAAGAATGGCAACTTTCCCCTTAGTAGATGTGTCTGAGAAATTGAATTTAGGAAAAGCCAGATCGTGTGTGTGTGTGAGAGAGAGAGAGAGAGAGAGAGAGAGAGAGAGAGAGATGCTTCCAGCGTGGCTTCTCATCTTCTCTGGTCACTGCACACAGGCACAATGTGGTCCAGCACATCCTGTGGAAGATCTGCTCAGGACAGCGTAGAGCAAGTTTTGGGAGGATGAGGCTGGACCAAGTGTGTGGCTGATAACAGTGTGTATCACATGAGGTGTAAGTTCCAGTCACAGGAGAATCTTGACAGAGAATGTTGGGTCAGCAGGAGTTGGCAGCGGTGAGGGCTGTAGAGGAAGGGGAGAGAGAAGCCGGATCCGAACCTTTCAGTGCAGAGCCTCTTTAGTTGTAGACATTCCTTCATGCTGCTTTCTCCTGGCCCACGCCCAGACTTCAGCTTGCTGTCTGACCATCCGTGGAGCTTGCTTTGTTTTGCTCTCCCACTGAATCCGCTGCCACGGTTTGGCAGTTTTCGTGTCAGGCACGCTCTCTCTGAGACACAGGGTAGGCTTTTCCAGCCCTGCTCATTGGTTTGTGTTCGTAATAAGTTGCTGCTGATAACTGCTCCAATGCTCAAATGGCCGGGGCGAGAATAGAGCCGGCCTGAAGCTCGCCACAGCCCAACCGTCCTCGACATGAAAGTCAGACCTAATCACTTCTGTTTGTGGGCCTCTGGCATTTGGTTTATAGCATCATCCCCCCCCCCCCCCCCCGATTGAGCTGAATTTCCTGTTGGCATATTTGTGGTGAGTTTTCCTTACTACTTCTCCAAGTTCATTCACCAGAGGTGGAGAGGATTTTTCTAGTAAAAGGTAATTCCTGCTAATATTTATTTTGGCCACCAAGGATTTTTTTTTTTTTTGAAAGCATGTCGTTTGAGTATTTGCCTGTCTATGGTGTGTGCACAAAGTGGACGCCTGGTGCCCGTGAGGTCCTAGGGGGTGCTGGATCCCCTGAGACTGGCATTGCAGGCAGCTGTCAGCTGTCATGTGGGTTCCAGAAACTGAACGTGGGGCCTGTGCAAGAAAGCAGATGCTCTTCCTCACCGAGCCATCTCTTTAGCCGTTAGCCACCAAGTTTTAACAGATGATTTTACTTCCATGAGTTAATTCTGATAAAAGTTTCTGGGATTGCACATCAGAATTCATGCTGATGAATGTACATTTATTTTTGTGAGTCGTGCTTTTAGATAAATCCAGGACTACCTTATGCCCGCTGTTTATGTTGTTTTTTTTTTATCCGTAAGAGGAGAGAACTGTGTCCTGGCTCACTAAGGTCTACAACCCTCTTACCCTGTTGCTTTACTTCACTTTTGTGTATTGTTGCTCAGGGGAGGTGTGGAGCGGGAAGAGTGCTCGCCACACAAGCGTGGGTTGGGGAGTTTGTGTCCCCAGAACCCACGTAAGCAGTTGCTGGCTGTGACATCATGTGTGGCTGTGTCCCCAGCACTGAGAGAAGGGCTCCACAGCAAATCAGTCTAGAAGGAGGAGCCAGAAATGCGGGTGACAGGGCGTGGGGAGGAGGCAGAAAAGGGAGGGGAGAGAGGGATTGTCCCAAAATATATGATGGAGGGAAATAGAAGAAGACAACTGAAGCTGACCTCTGGCCTCCACACACATGCCCACAGGCAAGCTTACTTGCAAATATGTGGGTATTTACCACACATGGGCACAAGTGCACACACACACACACACACACACACACACACACACTGAATGAATGATAATATTGCATAGTGTATTTACAGTTATTATGGAGACTTGTAACTTCTCACAAAACCTGAGTTGAACTGAGGGTAGCATTTTTTTCAGCTTGAAATTTTATATATTTTTAATTTTTATTTTTATTAATTACAATTTATTCACTTTGTATTCCCCCTGTAGCTCCCTCCCTCTGCCCCTCCCAATCTCCCTTCCTCTTCTCCACTCATGCCTCTCCCCCAGTCCACTGATAAGGGAGGTCTTCCTCCCCTTCTTTCTGATCCTAGTCTATCAGGTCTCATCAGGAATGGCTACATTGTCTTCCTCTGTGTCCTGGTAAGGCTGCTCCCCCCTCGGGGAGAGGTGATTAAAGAGCAGGCCAATCATTTCATATCAGAGACCATGAGGGTAGCATTTTTAAAGTGTTCATGCTGGAGATAACTTTATATTTAGTTATTGACCTAAGAAACTTCATTTCCCTATTTCATCTTGCATTTTCCCTTCTCAGAAAATTGAAATCAATTTTTGCAGCTCAAAAGTTAAAACCTGTAGTTGCAATGTAGTGTTTGAAAGAAGCATTCAGTACCGTATTGTATTTGGTACTTCTATAGTGGATTGAAACAACTCAGCGAACTAACTTAGTAGCTATTCATTAGACATCATTTGTCATACCATGTCAGAATAAATAGTATTTGTCCATCCTGTGTCCAGTGTTATGATAGGCTGGCATTTCCTTGATATTTAAGTCGATCTGGACAGCAAGCTTGTGATGTAAGTACCAGAAAAGCCAAAAAAAAATCTGAAATCTTTTGCCTAAAATTTCAAGAATCCAAAGAAGAATAAGAGGCATTGTTTTTTTTTCTCATTTTCACCATTTTGATTACTCATTGATAATAGCTCATAAACATAATATTGGAAAAGAATCAAAGATAAAATGCCTTGAGAGTGTGGGTTTCTAGAAATGAATACCAATTTTTTGTATGCACATTTGGAGATTGATTTGGTGAGTATGAAAGATGCCGATTCTTGGCCTACTGTGCGAGCTGTGTGCAGTGCTTTCACGCTGTCCCCATTGAATCCCTCTACCCTGCTACTGCTGGATTCCCGAGGTCCAACTTAGATGTAATGTCTTCAGTCTACTGTTTTGTATGTACTTGGAAAATATTTCACGTATATGGAATAATTTTCCTTGACTTCAGAAAACCCAGGTGGGTTGTTATTAGTTTGTGAGGTCTGTTTTTACAAAGATTCCCTTTTGTTTCATTTTTAATAGAAAGATGAAAACTACAGGAGCCTCCCACGGGATCCCAGCAGCTGGTCCAACCAGTTCCAGAGGGACAACGCCCGCTCCTCCCTGAGCGCCAGCCACCCAATGGTAGACCGGTGGCTGGAGAAGCAAGAACAGGTAACGGACGGACCGTGTCCTTGTGTCATGGCTGACATCCAGCACTTGGCTAAATGCGTTGTATGACAGTCTTTGTTGCAGTGTGTGGAGAAAAATGGCAACCCAGGCCTCTGGAAGGTGGTGATTTAATCACAGAATTACATCGTTGGTTTCCCAAGTAACATCAATTTTCTTTGTGATTTTGATATAAAAGTTTGTCTTTATCAAAAGGTATTGAACTGAGAAGCCACACCCCTCTTGAGGCTGTTTGAAATACTTGATTGATTGGGTGTGGAGAAATTTATCCTTCGGTCTTGAGCTTAAAGCCTCTTCCTCCACAGAGTCTTGACAAGTGCCGACCTACCCACTAAATATGGCCCAAACAAGGCTACACTGGAGAAAAAGACTATGGTACTTTCTTATCAGCAGTATAATTGGGGTTACACCTGACCCTAATGAACCAAGAACTATGAAAAAATACAAAAGTCACATTATGGTTTCTGCCAGAAGCAAGCACTATGGTTCCGGCAGCAGAGCAAGAACAGATTCTGTTTTCCTCACTGGACATCCCTTCCAGCTGCCCTCCTTCATTTGTGATTTGCTTGGTTAAATGTTGTTCTTCAGTCCTCTGGGCTCAATGCCGGATGTCCTTTCTGAAGCTTTCTCTTCTGTTTAGTTCTGCGGTTGAAAATACAAGGAGGAGAATTGCATTCTGTGGGTATAAAAATGTAGGGTATAAAAAAAAAAAAAACCCTGTCCTGCTTTGGCCATTTGAGGTCACTAGGGTTGAACTGATGGCTATCGTCTTGTAGGGATGCCTTTGAACTGAGTGGGTCAGGGAAGCTTTAGGTTTTTAGTGTTTGGTAGTTTTGTCTTTGCTCCATTTCCTACTGGAGAGCTTATTGCTTATATTCTCCCTCTCCCTCCCTCTTCCTCTGTCTCCCTCTTTCCCTCCATCCTTCCCCCTTCCCTTCCCTCCCTCTCTCCCCCTGTCTCTCAGGCAGCTGTGACCACAGCAGCTTCGCCAATGGTCATAAACAGCAGACATGTGTAACAGAAATAAGTGCTTCACTGAGCTAGTCGGCATCTCAGAAGGCAGCTGTCTTACTCTTTGTGGGGAGCTGATCTACATAATGCAAAAGTCTTCCCCTTTGTGTGGGGTATTGGAGGGTTTTGCTCCTACAGCATGGCAGCGGGGATGGGCCTGCACCTAGGGGTCAGGCTCTCCCGTGATGAGCTCACCTAGCTCAGAAGCGTCAGTCCTAAATGAGACACTCGGGAGGCTGAGGACTGTTGTCTTTTAGAAAGAGTCCTTTTTAATGTTAGTCTTGGGATCTTGTTCCGTTGCGTCTTCTCAGAGGAAGCAGGAGGGACCTGAGAGTGACAGGTTTGTTATGCCACTTTTTGCATTTTCCTGCTTTGGAAATTTTTACTCGGGAAACCAAAAAGAGCAAAGAAACTCTTAGTTTTGATGTTGGAGCAAGTTGTAAGAACTTGGAAATCTTTCCAAACATATCATTTTCCTGACTGTGCATAGGATGTTTTTTTAATATGGGCAGATAATGGATCTTAAGCTGACTTTGTTCCTGTTTTCTTTGTGCTTTGTTGCAACTGATAAAATCTACATAAGGTTTGGCACAAACCTTATAGGCTCTTGACTGCATCAAGTTAGGGCTGGAAAGCAGAGGGACCTGAAGGGAATGTCAGCTAATTGGGAGCCTGCCATTTTCATTCCTTGTCTGAAGCAGGCCTGCACCCAATTAGCAGAGGCGGAGAGCGGATCTACAAGGCACCTCCAGCCGCCATTTCCGCTCTGGGCTGGGAGTGACTGCCCTGACCTTTGGAGAAAAACCTATGTTTTAGGGTTCTTTCCATCAAGAAAAACTTCACCTAATTGGCAGAATGTGATAAAGAATAAAAACTTTTCTAAATGTTTGAGGATACAATTCTACCACTGTAGTCGCATCCCAGCTCTACAGAATCCTACTACTCAGTGAAATGCCTAAACCTCAGCAACAGGGTCTTCCGAAGTGACACAGCTGTGTCGTATGCATGTGTGGGCATGTGCACCGTGCCCTTTAACTTGCTGTTGTGAAGTGGCAGGTGTCTCGGGTAGACGGGCAGAGGCTCCAGCCTATACACAGGAGGCCACAGTTGCTTATGGGAACAGATCAGCTTATACTTGTCAAAGTCTCCTTTTCTTCCCAAGTGCTTACTAAATTTATGTCTTGAAATTCAAACAAGGAAGAAGACGAGAAGAGTCCACTTTTACTTCATCCTAGTAATATCCAGATGACATAAAGGAAAATAAGTTTTCAGTGTATGAAATGACCTTTATTTTGTAATTACGAATTTAGGAAATGGCTCACTCAGAAATCTGATGATAGCAGCTGTCGACTGGCTACTGCGCTGCCTCTCGGGTCATAATATGAAAAGATGGAAGCCCTGTGCAAGTTCAGAGTGGGAATGGCCAGGGCTCTGCCTAGACCGCCATTCCTGGGACCTGAGGCTCGGCTGTGGTGCTGCCAAATGTTGATTGGAAAAACGCAAATTCCTTGCCGCTAAATCCTAAAATTGTACTGTGTTCTATAAAAAAGAAAGATTTATTAATATTATTTGTCATTTGGCAAAGATTTGCAAGATTTGTGCCGAAGAAAAACATAATTGCTTTTCTCTAGCTGCACTGAAAGTAGAAAGTTAAAACCACAGAGACTGTTAAAATTAAATTTAGTTATTATTATAGAATACTAGACACTTCATTATAGCAGAAACCTATCCTATCCACAATAATATCCAAAAATAAAACCCTAACTGACCTTTGAGGAGAGCTGTCTTTTCACCCTGCTGTTGCTGAATTGAAAATTACATTGATAATAAATGATGCTATTGGGAGACAATTTTGAAATCATTTGCTTTAGAATGCAGTGATTGGCAGCGCCCTGTGTAGGTATCACAGATTATTTTCCACAATTCGTACATATCTTCTGCTTCTATCACCAGTATCCTGGAGAGCAGGAGCAGAGAAAAGGGCCCTGGTGAGTCTCTGCTCTGAACACCTGCCTCCCTGGGAGAGGACAGGGCACATTGCGTCTCCCGGGAGAGAGAAGCGGCATTTTTACCCTGTCACATACTTAGCAATGAACGCCCACAGTGAATCTGTGACATGTGTGTCGGTCTCGAACACCTGCGTTCCAGGCAAGCAGACGTGCGTCATGACTCGGCCCGCTTGCTGTGTGTGGGGACTGGCGCTGTTCCGTAGTGTCCAGTCTGAGTGATGTCACCTAAGGTTAGTGCAGAGTCGGTCTGGGCTGCCGCTCTCAAAGTGAGGCTGCTTTGAGACAAGGCCAATCGATCGAATAGCCAGTAACCTTTAGACAGGGCTGTTCCAGAGGGCTGGACTAGACCCCAGGCCTCTCATGTCCAGCTGCTGGGCTGCAGCTCAGCTGTGCCGTTGCTGTCCTGAAGGGCAATTTCTTCTCTCACTGGAAGCACCATTTGGAATGCTGGCTCGCTGCCACCCCAGTGTGCATCCTTTCAGAATTGGATTCTTGCTTCAGTGGCATCTTAGGAGAATTAGAATAGAATCTAATCATCTCAAACCAGTTTTAGTCTCTTTCTGAAGAATATAATGTGACATAAGAATTAATTCGGTGTTAGTCCTGTTGCCCACTCGTGTTTGGGGCTTTTATATGTAGTTGTGATAGAATTACATGTAAAGGTTCCATTTTTGGACACTAGAATCCTACATGCCTTCCGTCATTGCTGCCTGGAACTTGCTGGCCGCTTTGTGATCCGATGAAGCTGGGAGGCCGCTGTCACTCCTTTGCCCTAGAGCTGAGCTGTGCCCTTCAAGGGCTGCTTGTCAGAATTTGTGTCTGTCTGTCTGTCTGCCTGTCTATCTATGCATCTATATCTATCTATCTATCTATCTATCTATCTATCTATCTATCTCTATTTATCTTCTACCTATCATTCCTCTATCATCTATCTACCATCTATCTTCTGTCTATCGTCTATCAATCAATCATCTGTCCATCCACTATCTATTCATTTATCTGTCATCTATTGTCTGTCCATCTATTTATCCATTCATCCATTGACTGTCCATCTGTTCTTCTGTCCATCTGTCTATCTATATCTCATCTTCCTGTCTTCATTGCTCCGTGGGATTACAAGTATGTGCCACCCAGCCCAATTTAATATAGGGTGGGGCACAGACCTCAGGCCTTCATGCTTACCAGGTGAGCCCTGTACCAGCTGAGCCCATCCCTCAGCCTCTTTTTCCTTTTTACTGGCCATGATTACTACTTTCTGCTACTGCTTTGATTGATGGAGCTGAAAGCCTGCAGGAAGCAAGGAGGTGAGTCAAATTCCAAGTGAGAAACAGTCAGGTAGCGCATGGGTTCACATTTGTGGAATCTTAGCGTTCCCTGCTTTTCTTACATGTGAATACACAGTTATGGTCCGCCTTGGAGATCTTGCAGATTGGATAAAGACACATCATTTCATAAATCTTTGACCTTAAGGTGATTTTTTCCTGTGCTCATTTCAGTCAGCCCTAAAGCCCTTTGTTGGAGCTTTGTGCTCTGATGTTGGAGAGGAGTCTCTCTGTTGTGAGCACATTATTAACACACATGGTCCCCACTGTCTCTTTAGTATTTGCTGTTTTTCTGTGTTTTAGGAGAGGTAGAACTACCATTCTTTTAAAGGAATACGAGTTAAGAAATGACATCGACATTTCTCTCTTACAGTATGTTCTTTTCAGTGCCTATTTGATAGCCTGCCTATGAATACAAATCATTCACAAGATAGTTTTCAATTTTTTAATTTGAGGTAGAGGAGTGTTTTGGTGGTTGTTTTTATTTAATGGGTTTTTATGTAGGCTTTTCCTACCACAATCGACTTGGTCTTGAAACAGTCCTGAAAAATGTCCCTTTTATGTATTAAAATGATTTAGTGGTTTTAATTTTTGCCACCTGTGTGCTCTGTGGTTTTGACATATATCTGTATGTCAAAACAAA